GTGCTAGGCCGGTGGGCAAGTTCTAGAAGCTGGGGGCAGGCAGCCCTTCTCCCTTGGCCTGACCCCGGCTGATCTGATGGCAGAGGCTCTATTCTTCCTGAGAAGCCATCAGGGTCCAGGCCAGTCTGGTGGGGGAGGCTGGAGCGTGACTGAAGGAGGTGAGGGTGGGCTCTGTGACCAGAGCAGTGAGTCCCAAAGGTGTCCCAAAGGTCGTGGTGAGTCCAGGGTGGCAGGGAACTTGGAGATAAGACAGCCTCAGGAAGGACATAGAGGGCCCCCTCTGAGGGTCCTGGGGAGGATGGGGAGCCGAGCAGGCCAACAGCCGTTGGGGGGGGTGGCGGCACTGAGCAGAACGTGACCTGAAGGAGGTCTGAGGAAGCCCCCTCAAGTGCAGGGTCACCTTAGTGACCAGTGACTGTTAGCTGGACATGCCACAGGCTTTCTACAGGAGAGCTGGGAGGGCCTGGGTCTCCCTCAGGGCACGGGGCCCACCTCTGGCCTCCCTGCTGTGTCCAGGTGAACATGGAGACAGCCAGGTTCTTCAAGTCCGACTTCGAGCAGAACGGAACCATGGGGAACGTCTGCCTCTTCCTGAACTTGGCCAATGACCCCACGTAAGCCCTTCCCTATCCCAGACTGCTCTCAGGTGAGCAGACGCTGCCCACTTCCAAGACCAGAGTACAGGGCTCAGGGGCCTCCCAGAACCTCAGCCACGGGCCACAGCTGGGGAACAACCCCCTCTTCATGCAGATGGGGTAACAGGTCTGGGAAGGGCTAGGGATAGGCCCCGGAAAGGCAGAGGGAGCCAGACTCTGACCCCACCTGTCACCTGCTGCTCTGCTACTTTTCCCACTCTGTCCTAAGTCAGGACCCTTCATCCTGTCACTTTCACAGAGTCACTACAGAGATCCTCTCCACCACTCCAGAGGCCCTCTCCCTCAACCATTTACTTAGAAAACCTGCTATATTAAACTTTTAGAAAACGGGAGCTTAAACTTAAGGGTCAGGGCCAGCCCATGCGTAGTGTTCAGATGCAGGACCCCACATGGCCAAAAAACTGGTTCAACTCCTGGACTTGGCAGCTTAAGAAACCTGCCAGGCCTATATGCATGTGTGCCCAAGGTCCCAAAAGGAGGGAGAAATGGAGAAGGGAGTGTGGTGTGGCCATTCCCCATGGAGGGGACTTTCTCACTTTCTCTCTCTCCCTTGAGCACACTAATCTTCTGGCAAAATTTTAAAAAGAAAAAGAAAAAAGGGACCAGCAGTTAGAATAATAGCTATGCAACTGAACTCCCATGTAGTCAATTGCGGTTCGAGTCCCGGACCCAGTGGCTTAAAACTCACACCGGGTGCGTGTGTGTGTGCATGCCCAAGATCCCGAGAGGAGAATGGAGGAGAAGGGATTGCGGCATGGCCATCTCCCCTGGGGGGTGATTTCTTGCTTTCTGTCTCTCTGTCTCTGTCTGTCTGTCTGGCAAGTGATGTGCCTTATAACAAAACCTCTCCAAAAAAAAAAAAAAGAGAGAGAGAGAAAAAAAACTAGGGATGAGGTGGATGGAAAAAAAAGATTCTAATAAACCATTCTGGTGTTGAGGATGGAGGCCAGGGGAAAATCTCCAAGGGGAAGACCCTCAGGCCCAGAGCCCGGGGACTGAGGGTGCCTGGAGCCAGAGGAAGGGCACTCAGTGGTACCTGAAGTGGGAGGGGCCACCAGAGCAGGCAGGTGTGGACCACACACACTGAGTGAGCAGTGACAGGGCAGTGAATAAGGATCAAATCCCAGGACACAGAACGAGGGGGCTCCAGCTGACCCAAACTCACAGTGTGCTGGGTGAGAGGGAGCCCCACACACTGGCTGTCAGCCCAGGATCCTTTAACTTCCACCCACAGGGGGCCAGCCTGCTCTCATCACACACTCCTGGCCCTACCTGGCCCTCTCCCATCCAAGCACACCCCACCCCCACCTCAGCCTCTGTCTGTTTTCCTGCTTTGCACAGCTGGCAAGGGGGGAGTCGTACTGGGCTCCCCTTGCACTTAGCCCTGGAGTGCCATGCAGCGTAGGCCTGGGCCACTAGGCTCTCTAAACACTGGCCACACCTGCAGGATCGAGCGGATCATCACGCCACGCCTGGCACTGACCACCGCTGAGTTCCTCGCCTACCAGTGTGAGAAGCACGTGCTGGTCATACTGACGGACATGAGCTCCTACGCAGAGGCCTTGCGGGAGGTGCGTCAGGTTCCCCCACCCCTCCCTAGGCCCAACAGCCCGGGGCTCACCCTGTGATTAGAGGGGACTAGCCCACCCAGGCCCACCACACTCAGGTGAGCTCCAGGCCTCAGGCAGCCTGGCCATTCCTCTCCTGCACGCCCCAGCTCCATCTCTCACAGGCTGCTGACCCTCCCACCCACCCGTCCTTGTGTCAGACTCTGCCCCTTTCTGACCCCAGTGCCCATGGATACCGTAGGTCTCGGCTGCTAGAGAGGAAGTGCCCGGGCGTCGCGGCTTCCCTGGGTACATGTACACTGACCTGGCCACCATCTACGAGCGGGCAGGCCGCGTGGAGGGCCGGGGCGGATCCATCACTCAGATCCCCATCCTCACCATGCCCAACGACGGTAGGCTCCCCACAGCCCGCCACCCTCCAGAGCCCCTTCCAGCCTTAGTACTGGGTCCTCACAGGGCCTGAGCTGCCCCACACAGACGTGCCGGCTCTGGTCAGGGCTGGCGGGGCCACTAGGTAGACACTGTCCTGTCCTCCGTCCCCTCCCCACCCCGTCACTCCAGGGAAGGGGATGGACCCAGGTGACCGGGGGGAGACCTGAGCCTGCCCACACTGAGGCCAGTGCCTTCTTTGTAGATATCACTCACCCCATCCCAGACCTGACTGGCTTCATCACAGAGGGGCAGATCTACGTGGACAGGCAGCTTCATAACAGACAGGTACTCTTCCTGCCTCCCCGCCTCCTGCTCTCCCTCCAGAGACCCCAGAGAGCAGCTTCCCCCCCACCCGCAGGGCCCGGGCAAGTCTAACCTGAATGGGAGCGACCCACCCTGAGAACTGCTGGGTTCACAGGCAGAAGACCGGCTTGGGAGCTGAGGAAATATTGCCATCTCTCTGGTCCTAGGTCTTCTCTCCTGTGAGATGGGAATAACAGTACTTAGCACAGACGCACGGTGAAGGATGAAAGACGGTGGTGTGTAGAAAGCACCTGACAGACCCTAAAATACCATTTCCAATCCCTTTGTGGTTATTCACCTTTTTCTTCTTTCTCTTGGAATTATTTTATTTAATACTTTCTTAATAATTAATTTTATTTTTATTTATTTATTTATTTTAATTTGACCAGAGAGATACATAGAGGGAGAGGGAAAGTGAGAAAGCAAGCCACCAGGTCCAAGACTTGAACCGTGGTCGGCCATATGAGAGTGTCCAGCGCCTTAACCACCACACCACCTGCTTAATATTATTTTTAAAAATTATTCACTTGAATGAGCAGAAACCGTGAGTACCTGGGCACAGGTAGATAGGGGATAATGAGCCAGGCGTCGTCTGTCCAGCCCAGAGCTAAAGGCGGGCCCTGTGCTGAGTGAGGACTGGCCCCTGGAGAAGGCGCAGCCGGTAGGAAGGGCAGGAAGGCTTGGGCTCTGCTGTCTGCCACTCCCTTCTCCCCCCACAGGTCTACCCTCCCATCAACGTGCTCCCGTCCCTGTCGCGGCTGATGAAGTCTGCCATTGGGGAGGGCATGACGAGAAAGGACCACGGAGACGTCTCCAACCAGCTGGTAAGGAGAGGGCCTAGGAGGTAGGCGATCCGTTTCAGAAGCTGAAGTTCTGAGTCCCATTGACAATGAGCCATGGGCCCGGGACCACCAGCTGGGCTCCACACACAGCCAGGTTGGGCTCCCGCGGTAAACCCTGGTCCCCCTGACGGCCTCTGCCCCTCCTCCAGTACGCCTGCTACGCCATCGGGAAGGACGTGCAGGCCATGAAGGCAGTGGTCGGGGAGGAGGCGCTCACCTCCGAGGACCTGCTCTACCTGGAATTCCTGCAGAAGTTCGAGAAGAACTTCATCAACCAGGGTAAGGCGGTCGCGGGCGTGCAGGCAGGGCCTCCGCACCTCCTCCCTCCCCTACAC